GCCTTGCAGAATTTTAATCTGTGAAGAGAGATACGGGGGATCTGCAGCCACTCAGTCACGTAAGGGTGTGAGGAAACTTCTTGGAGACCTCTTAGAAGGAAGCAAAAGCAAAGTAGTCTAACAAAATTAAGTAGCCATCACAGAATAAAGTATAAAATACAAGATTGTTGGTTTGTTCCCACAGAAATGGTCAAATACAACTTGTCTGGCAGACAACACTGAGAAGGTGCATATGGCATTATTTATCGCTATAGCAAAAAATCTTAGTCCATTATGTACTGCTCCTACAATTGGCAAATATAGTGACAGATGTAAGTGATGGTTTGATAAAATGGAGGGGGCGATACAATGTCTGATCATAGATTTTTTTTTTCCTAGTAATGATGGGTATATTTAACAGATAAAATGGCCAGTATATAGATGTATGAGGTTTTAGATTCAGGAGGAGTTTTGCCTGGACACAATATTTGGGCGTGGATGGATGGCAGAGGGGCAAACCACCTGCAGCGTGGTTGGATGGACATGGCATGTTCCTACAGAGGAGAAACAGAATATAGGCCTGGCTGTCCTTGAACCAAAACCAACTGCTAGCCTAGGGCAAGTACTGCTTGGGATGAAGGCTGCTGAAAACTGAGCTTTCGGAGACTGGGCAGACACTTTCAGATGTGAGACAAGGTCTCACATCTTTGTCCACCATAGACACAGCATGCCCACTATTCCCTTCATGTACTGAAAGACTTTAGTAACTTCCCGCTGTACACCATAAGAGCAAATATCCTGTACCTACTTCTATTTCTGAAGCAAATTATTTTTGAGATCAAATAGTAGTTCAGTTATGAAGTTTGTAACTTGGTTATTCACCTCAGTATAGTAAGCACAGTGCTTAATACAACTAATACAGAGAGAAAAATTTAAGGAGACACTCTTCAGAGGAATTAAAGGAAAGGTTCAGTAGTTGACTGACATGAAATTTTCTAGCTGGGAGCAAGGTAATTATTTGATGATATATAGAAAGAGAAGGAAAGAGACTGTAAGAGAAAGTGAATATACAGTCTTTTATCTAGATATCACAATCTCTTTTTTTGAAAAATCTAATAATTACACCAATAATTGAAACTGAATTGCTTGCACTATTGAAAATACATATAGAAAGATTGGAATCCATGCTGCAGTTGCAGGCAGTGTAATCATGAAGCTGCAGTCACATTACTGCTCTCAAAACAGCTGCCATCTCCTATTCTCAGTAGAAATGAACCTAATTGTACCTTACTACGATCCCTATTTTCAAAATGGCTATTTCCTCACGTTGTTTCCATGTGACGGAAATCAAGCTGATCCTGAGATGATGATGTCCCCTAATGCCTTCAGAAATTGTGATGGACCGAATCTCAAGGACAGAGAGAGAAATCTCCTTGTAAGTCCCCAGACAAGTAATAGCTATCTTGAAAAAAAAAAAAAAAGGACAGAGACATTAAAATTATCAAGAACATAAGGTGTCACAGATCCTTAATTTTAGGAAAAAGAGTAATTTTTACACTTAGAATTAAAGCATTCTGATCCTTTGCAATGCAGCTAAATATAAAATCCCTACCAGACAACTAAATCATGTTCTCTTACATTGCTTATTAAAATATTTATCTGACTAGAATCTGTAATTTGAGTTACGCAACCATCAGCACTATCACTTTTACAACTGAATGCAATAGGGAAATGGAGAAATCCAGATCCAAAATAATAATAATAATCATCATAATCATCTACAAAATAGAACTTCATAGTTAACTCTCTTCAGAGTGAGAATTTTCTACAGACAGCCCACTGGTGATAATGAGCATCCAAAGACTCATCTTTGAAATAATGTATTTAGCAGTAGGTGGATAAAATGGGGGTAAAAGCTAAGGAAAACAGAATTCTGGGGTAGCATTTAAGTTCTGAACATCTTGACTTGTTTTTTATGTACATGACTCAGCACCACTGCAATTGCTTCTAAAAAAAAGCCCAACAAAAAAATCATGCCTACTTTTGCTTAACTGTGCTCTAACTTTTCTCTAAACTGCAGACAGCATTTATGGTAAGCACAATCTAATTGATGGTTATGAAATGATGAGACCATTTAGACAGATGTCTGATTCTCCATGGACATTTTTTCTCCACGAGAAACAAGAAAGGCCTGCAGCCTTAACTGCCTTTTCTGAATTTATGGTGGCAGAACTGTCCATCTGGATTAGTGTCATCTGCCCTTTTAGAAAAATATCAGTGCCTGTAAGGCTTTCAAAGATAAATTATCTATGTGAAGAGAAGATTCCATGTTGACCTACTGATTTTTTTTTTCTATTAAGATAAACTCAAATGAGGGTTTCTCCAAAAAGACAATTATATTTATGACTTCCATCAAAACTATCCACTACAAATTTGAATGCACTAAATGTTACTATGCTTAATACGCCACAGACTATTCCTGAAAGCCGTAAGGTCTTCCTAAAAAGCAACTGACAAGGCAAATGCATTATTATTGCAGCTGTGATACTTGGGCAGAACCACTGAAGCTGTCTTGAACCAGAGCTGGAGAAGTGGAACTCACTGAAGTGGAGCAGTTTGCAAATAGCAATAGATGCGTCCATTGCAGAAGTATTGCAAAGCTGAAATAACATAGCAAATGCACTGAGTCTTTAGGAAAAAGACAAGAATAACAATTGCCTAGTAACTTGCTCACTGGTTCAGCATCTGTAGTTAAATAATACAGCCCAAATTCTTTTCATAGAAAGAGATCCTACCAACAGATCTACTGTAGAGGATAATGTTATGAACATCCTGTAAAAGCACTAGCTCACAAGTTCAGGCTGGTAATATAATGTACCACATGTACACTCAGAAGCTTGCATGTAACAGTTGTATGTCACTTCACATGCTATTTCTTTCC